ATAAGGAGAGTACGCAAAAAATGAACGCCAGGACTTTCGATGGACTAACCACCAAGCAACGCAGCGATGGTCAAAGCAACTTGAAAAGCTGCCAATTGCATTTTTTGAAAATCATCGACAAACTACAGCTGATTCAAGCGTTCGAGACTTAATAAATTTACGCAGTTTTACAAAAAAAAAAAAATTCTACCCGTCACAAACGCAGAACAGACAACAGTAGTGAAGCAATTACTGATACAATCACAATCAAGAACTTTTTTCTGTACATTATGAAGATAATGAAGATGATGGTGATGATGATGGTAATGACAGCGATGATGATGATGAAATTGATGGCGTTGTTGGCGATGGTAATGATGGTGATGATGACGATGGCAACGGCAATAAGAATGGTTTAGAGAAACTTGTATTTGCGAATTCAGGAGTTTCTGTGCTACTACATGAGTTATCACAAGATGCGATCAGTTTTTTCTTTGCTTGCACCATTTTCCGATGTCTTTTGCCTTTCAAATGAGCTTCCCAATTTGCTGCACCATGTATATCGATATTACATTCTTCACAATGATAAATCTGAAATTTTTCCACTGTTCTAGAGATTCTTCGTTTCAGAAATTGCAAAGTTACAGTTTGTTAACAGTAAGTAAATCTCGCTCTCCCCACATCTGTTGCCGAATTGAACCAGAATTTCATTTGGAACTGGTCACTGGGAAGCAATTTTTTGATCAATTCGGAATTTGGAAAAATGCAAAATTTGGGAAATACGATTGTTCTGTCTCCAGATATACAGATACAAGCCAAATGCACCAGGCTCCTCTTCCCTAATCAACAGTCTCCACTCCATTCACACTGTTTCCACGCAGGCGTACCACACATTCGAGTACTGTGTATGTCAGTACCATCCATTACTACTAGGCCACATCCATCGGATGTTAGTCAAGCCAGGAAAATTTCCTTTTTATCAAACTTTATTTTTTCTTCTAAAAAGCCAAATAATTGGAAATTATGAATTTTCTAGTAGTAAATTAACCACAAACTTGCTCGTTTTGTATGTACCCGGTACTAAGTCCTAAGACCGGGTGCATAGAAAAGAGCAAGTATGTGGTTAATTTACTACTAGAAAATTAACTATAAATAAAAGAGTTAATTACTTGGTTAGCCAATCGCCGATACACAGTGTTAAACTTGAACATATCCGCACTGCTTCCTTTTTCCAGCAATGAACTGTCATTAACTGCGCGGAGAAACTCCTCGACTATATGCAACACGTTAGGTACTACGACGCTGTGAAATTCTCGCGAAGTGTC